GGGCGCCTGGGCAGCAGGGGGTGCTGCACCGCAGACCCTCCATGGGGAACTGCGGCCAATGGGAGCTGCGGGGGTGGCGTGGGCAGTGCGTAGAGTCCCTTGCCCCCCAGGGGCCACAGGGACGTGCCAGCCACTTCTGGGAGCAGCACAGGGCCAGGGCAGGCAGGGAGCCTGTCTTAGCTCTGCTGCACTGCCGACCAGGAGCCGCCTGAGGTAAGCACCTCCCGGCCGGAGCCTGTACCCCACATCCCCTCCTGCACCCAAAATCCCTGCCCCAGCCCAGAGCCCCCTCCTGCACCCAAAATCCCTTCCAGAGCTTGCACCCCGCACCCACACTGCCTGCCCCCAGGCTCAGCCCAGAGCCCTCTCCTACACTCCGAATCCCTCGGCCCCACCCTGGAGCCCACACCACCTCCTGCACCCCACCCCTTGCCCCAGCCTGGTAAAAGTGAGGGAGGGGGGATAGAGTGAGTGGGGCAGGGCCTCGGGGAAGGGGTGGGGCAGGGGAAGGGCAAAGGGCGGGGCAAGGATGTATTTTTTTGGTCAAGGTCAGGACTCCAGAGAAAATTAATAATGATAAGTAAATAAAAATATTTTGGGCTCCGTTCAAAACAGCTGGTGGTCCGGATTTGGCCTGCGGTCTGCCTATTGACTATCCCGGCTGTAGTGTGATCACTGTACTTCTGTCACTCCCCCCTCTTCCCCACCCCTTCTCTATTTAATTTTGCCAGTCTGAAAAGTACCCCAGTGTTTGATTACCAAACAGTGCCTCCTTTGTCAGAACTGCTTCAGTGGCTTTGGTTTCATTATCTTTGGTGGTAGCAGTGGGAGGGTGGGAAGTGGGTGGGGAAACCATCTGGAAGTCTGTAAAAGGAACTATTTGTAGATGAATGCAGCCTCTCACCTGATGGGGGTGGGGTAGAGAGTAGTGGGATTGGCATCTAACATTACAGACTTAATAAACGGGGCTTGTGTCTGCCTCTGGGTGTGCTGAGTGGGGGTAGCAGGAGTAATGCTGAGCGACCAGGGCCTGTGAGGTGGGGGGAGGGTCAGGGAGCATAAGGAAACAGTTATTCATACAGACAGGGGCCAGCTACCTTTCAGAGGCTGGAAAAGAGTGTAAATCAGACCACTGAGTTAGGATATTGTACTGTGCTATGAGTGATGCCTTCAGCAGCATGTGAGGGCTTTTACACAGGCATGAGTTCTTTACAGAGTAAAAGGCACTGCTTGATTCACTGTGGAGTGGGTTCTCCTTATCTTCTTTCAGTGGAGATGGGGGTGGGTGTTTTTCCTATAAAGCTTTGAGTCCGCTACAGTATGAGCTTCACCTCCTGCTATAAGCTGGCGTTCAGGCTGCAGCTTCACTTGTCAGATGTCATCAGCCTCCATTATTACTTTTTTTTTAAGGGACGATACATTGAATGTCAAGGATTGTGAACATGAGGGGATTGTAGTATTCAGGCAAGTAACAAGCAGCATACAGCTCTGCAAACATATCTGTCTGGCCTTTTAGTGCCATCGTGCTGTTCCAGTGGTAGGGCCCCCACCTACCTCTGCATCTAATGTCTGAACAGCGATGCTTCAAACTACCTGTTGAGAGACAGTGGCTGGTGGTTTTAAGAAATGGACAAATGTCTGCCAGAGGCTAGGTTAAAAATTAAATGGCTTTACTAATGACTTTAAGTCCATGTGAAAAATCAAGTCTCCAGAAGAAAAAAGTTAGGCTAGGAGGCATAACGTGCACTTAGGTTCATTACTGCTCAGTATCAATCCATGGTGGGCTGGACGGATGCAGTGAAGGCCCTTCGTTGGAATCCTTGATGAAGCTGAGGCATAATGGAACTCTGGTGTTTCAATGACCACTGCTAGATTGTGACAGTGCTAGCAGCCAACAGCAGTACTCTCAGGATAACACTGTCCTCTGGAGCCAGGGTTTGGAAGCCTTAGGAAGAGATTTTGTAGCAAAGATGACAATGAAATGTTTTAAGATACACTGATGCACTCTGCTCTGGAGTGGTGGGGGACGGGGAGGGGAATACCTGTAGCTTTCTGGTCAGGTGGGTACATTTCTCAGTTCCACACTTTCAAAGAGTTGATTGAATGGAATGAGATTGTTCCTCATGTGTATATACGAGATGATTGTCAAGAAAAGAGCCAGATAAAGTTCCTTATAATAATTTCCTGGTTAAATATAGTACGTCAAAGCTAACCTATCTGTGCCTTGATGAGTATTTGATTGGTTAAACTGGCTTTTCAGGTCTAGAATAATTCCAAATAACTTCTGCAGAACTAAGTGGCTGTTACGGAGGCCTCTGGAGATTCCAGTGCAGCAAAATGACTATTTTAAAGAATGATAAATGTCTCTTTCTGTCATGGCAGCCAGGCCCTTGTGAAATCAGTGATTAAAACTGTTAATAATCACCAAGTATAACCTAGAGGGCAGGGTCTTCTGTTTGTGTGATGTCCTATGTCTCAGGAGAACTCTAAAGGCTGCTTCTTCAGTTCATTATGAATGTAAATTAAGAGTCCTTTTCCTCCCAACGGATCCTAAAGTGGCCTACAAACTACAGCACCACTAAAATGTGGCCACCCCTGGGGAGAAGAGAAGTAACAAACTAATGCACAGAACATTGCACAACAGCTGAGGGGAGGGAACATTTTCGCAGAATTCATAAGAAAAGATTTGCTTTGATGAAAAGTGCCACGGGATATTTAATGTCCAGACAAAGCAGAGAATATTGTTTTAAAAAAATCTGAGTAATCCACACACAGTAAACTGAAGGGAACTCCATTTCAGTACAATGGAAATTTTCATTGTGGCGGGAAAGGCAGTGGGCGTGGGGGGAGGGTTGAGGGAGCACAGTGTCCTTTATCCTGAGTTGAAATTTCGGCAGTATTGCCTTTGTCTCTAAATGCTTGTTTCTATTTTAAGCTGCCCAGAAGACTTCAGGCATAGACATTAAAAACAAAAGTCTTAGCTCTCACTATATAGTTATTCTCCCTGGTAGAGCTGGGGTTTCTGATTACAGGATATATGTTTTCATTTTTAACCCCCTCAGTGTGTCTATTCAAATTACATCTCTTTTTGCCAGCAGTGTAAGTTAGGTTATACCACAAGGTAATGACTAGTATCAAAACTGTATGTTGTCTTCCTCCTTCCAGTTACTCAATTGTCAGCAATGTTGTGTGCAGTCTTGATACCAACAGGCGAAATGAAGATGGAGGCTGCACGTTTGCGTCTGAACTCCAGTAACTTTGTTCTGCCTAAATATATCCCCCCTTATATATTTGGAGGCAGAGTGGAGGTGATCTGGGGTGGGGAGCAGTTCCCTTGTGCGCCCCCACCCCCCCGCCGCTCCAGCTCCCCTCCTCACCTGAGCGGGCTTTTAGGCACCCCCAACCACTAGGCGCCCTAGGTGGCCGCCTAGTTTGCCTAAATGGTTGCACCGGCCCTGCCCCCACCCCCAAAGTAACCTTGCAACACCCTTGCAACTCCCTTTTGGGTCAGGAACCCCAATTTGAGAAATACGGGGCTTCCCCATAAAATCTGTATAATATAAGGTAAAAGCACACACAAGACCAGATTTCATGGGGTGGGGGACACCAGATTTCACGGTCCATGACGCATTTTCCATGGCCATGAATTTGGTAGGGCCCTAAATCAGTCAATTACAAACTGAGCTTCCACGGCACATCAATATATAGGCATGCAAAGGCTTTTTGTGTTTCCTGTTGCTTCCATAGTGTGTGTGTGTGTGTGTGTGTGTGTGTGTGGAGTCAGGATAGGGAAGCAGCAGAAAGAGCACAATCCTTTCCCTGGATAGATATCCATGCTACCCAGCTGAGTTTTTAACTGGTTGATTTAGCTAGCGTGCCTCTCACAAGTACTATTATCCCACCACTGAAATGCAGCCACTCTGAACCAGAAACATGGCACAGGGGGGATGAATAGCTTACACAACTGAACAACAGTGATAATTTCTTTGGGCAGGATGCAATGATCAGAATTCACAGATATATGTGGTGGTAATAGCGCAGTTGTTTTGGCTCTTGATGGGCTTGTGTTAAAAGTGGGAATCCTCCTGACTTCTCACCCTTACCCTCATGACTCTAGTGCAGGCTAACTCGTTCTTTAGACCAAGGCAAGCAGAGCATGGCTCTCTCCTGAAGTGCTCTGATTCACCAGATTGACCAGAGTGTTACTGGAGAGTCTGTAGAGATACTGCCACCCCCACCAAATCCTGGCCCTCAGTGCAAAGAATCCAGCTTGGCCCGCTGAATACCGTTGAGTTTCCCTTGATGCTTTCAATAAACTGTGAATTGTTATAGCTCTGCCAACACATGATGTACATTTAATTGCTGTCAGTCAAAGTGCACATCTTCTGCTGTGACTCCCAGCTGCTTTGGGGAGGAAGCTGAGCTAATCACGATGTCACCAATACTCCTATGAAATCATTAAAGCCATTATCCCCTTTTATGCTAATTAACTAAAACACGGGGGGGAGAGAAATTGAATTTTGGAAGCGCAAAAGCCTCTTGGTTCCTAAGTGTCATTCAGTCTCTGCAGCTGTGTAATGACAGAAGCACAAGAGTGAGCAAAAGTCTGCCCAGACACAGGCACTGTGAGAAGGATTAAAACTGACATTAGCCTGTGTAGAATGCTACTCTCGGGCTGCTTTATGCGATGGCTTGTTTAGTCTTGCTCCACCATGTGTTAGCAGCCTTCAGCAATATATGGTGGTGATTACCCTCTCTCTCATCTCCCCACTTATCCCCATATCCTAGGGCTAAGGTTAGGTTACAGTTATGAAATGGCTGTTGTCTGCATGGAACAATAAGCTGAAAATAGGTACGGGGTTCTGTTAATAACAATGAGCTAATGCCGCCTTCTCTGGTTTTCTTTTGTCGGGGACAGGTGGAACTGGTTTCATTTTTGATTTGTTTTTATGTTCTATCTCTGATCTAAATATGTGCTGTTCACTTTCTTTCCCCGCCAGCTGATCTGGAGAATGAGGAATGGTGTCTGGGTGCAGAATTGACTTCAGCAACAATAAAAACTGAACCTGTGCTGTGTGAGGCGCCAGGCCTTACCCCCTCTGTCAGTCTCACCATCACACCTGTACCCCTGGAAGGCGAAGAACCCCAGTTGCAATCTGATGCCATGGTACTTGCATATTTTCTATTCTCCTGCTTGTCCAGATAGATGGAGGTTCCCATAAAGCTTTGCACTGCAGTGTAGTCTTTCTGGTGTGAAGGTTTGAGAATTCCAGACATGCAAAGCATTATGGGTTGGTATAGTCTCTTGTTTGCTCGTCTCCAACAATATTGTGAGTGCTCATTTTTAAAATGTCTATATAATTCAGCCTCTGGTACTATTAGCTGCTGGCTGCATCATTTGCTTTTCTATACTTACAGCCTCTTCCGGACAGGGTCAAAGCCTGGGGTTCACGCATCTCTAGAACACTTAATATCTGATGAATCAGTCCCACTTAGAATAGCTAACCAGTTAACCCCTGGAATCTGTGGCAAGATGCACATCTTCTGTTATCCACAATGATTTTGACTCAAGGCTGTTCAAACTCGCCCTAAGCCAAATGAGAACACCTGTGTGGGGTGGCCAGCGCTTGTAATGAGAACTTCCATACCACTGTAAAGTCAGCTGTGCCGCTTACCTGCGTTTTCAGTGTATTCAGCTTTTACAACACTTTGGGCTGCTGCTGCCTTCAGCCCAGCAGGCTTAGTAAGGAGCATTTCTGATACATTTGTGACCACAGATTCAACAGCCAAAGAACATTTACCAGGGTTTAGTTTGAATGTGCTTCAGTCGATGAAAATAAGTGACAAGAATTATTGATGAGACAGAACTCCGCTTTAAAGGCCTATTCTTTCAGCTCCTCCCTTCTCGCCCCTGTGATGGTGGAGGGTGTCCAATCCATCAGGGTGATGTCATTCCAGCTGCAGCGTGGGCAGGCCATGTTCACAACCAGACTTTCATTGCTCGGTTGCATATCAGAAGTGCTCAGGTGCAAATTAATTCACTTCACAGGAAGCTGAAAGATTTAAGACTGTCCTAACTATCTTGTAGTTTGAGTGTGAATTCATAGTCTCCAGCATGTGCACTACTACGAAGTTGGGATGCCACAATATCACAAGCAGGACCCAGGACTATGTTACTCTTAAAACCTATTGGGTCCTGATTTTTTACTTTTGCTTTGGGCCAAAAAGTTACACAGCAAGATTCTGGCTGTACTGGCTACTCCAATGAGCAAGACTGACTCACTCGGGTCAGGAATTATAGGCTCACAAAGCAGGTCTGACTCTAGCCCTGTGCTCAGCTGTGGGGGCTCCATCTTTCTCAGTATCCCTTTCCAATTCTGGCCTATAACTTGCTTTGCCTGTTCCTTCTCCACTTTGTAAAATGAACTTAGGCCTAATATCCCAGGTCATAGTGACAAGAACCCTGATGCCCCTTCCAGATGGTAACTTTCCTGACATCCTCTCAATAGTACCAAACCCTCCTCCCACCAAAAAGAATACTTCTCTTTTTGCAGAAACCTGCTCAAAGCCTTTGCATGTTGGTCCAGCAAATGCTAGTGCCAGCTCTGTTTCCAAAGAAGTAATTTGAGTGCAATGCACATTACCTGTCGGTCTGAAATGTCATCCTGAGAAGTAATCTCTTATTTAACTAATTGTATCAGTAAGAGAAGCCCCAGCAACTGTTTTTCAGGATAATGGTCTCATTGACCTGGGTTAATACGTTACAGAGAAGCAGTAAAAAAAAATCTTGAAGTAGGGAGGGGGAAAGAGGTCTGGTCACTTAAGGGAAGCTTCTCAGTGTTTCCTTATACTCAAATTTTATTTTTTTAATTCCTTCTGTAGATGAAACCGTTGAGCCAGAAGGTTCTTCCAGAGATTAAATTGGAGCCACATGAAGTAGATCAGTTCCTGAACCTGTCTTCTAAGGAAGGTTTGTTAATTACCAATCCAAGATGCTGGACTGATAGCCAGAATGCAGAATGATCATAGTGTGCTCTGTTGAGCTATTTGGCTTTCTAGCCATCTTTGCTAATCTCCAGACCACGGCTGCTGTCTCCTAGGGATTTGATTCAGGCTGCTTAAGAAACCAGCCTCTTTGACCCACTTATAAAAAAATTTTCATACAGAAAATGATCCTTTCCATCTATAATGTATTACTGATTGCACAGTTACTGGATAGAACTAGAATCCTTGAAACTCAGGATTACTTAGCCTGGAAAAGAGGTAAACTTGAGGGGACTTGATTGAGGTGTTTGGAATTATGAAACGCATAGCAGAAACTGACTCTTCCTACTTTGTATCTTAAGAACACAAGAACAGCCATACAGAGTCAGACCAATGGCCCATCTAGCCCAGTGTCCTGTCTTGTGACAGTATGGCCGGCACTGTGTGGGACAAGTTTATATTGCTGTTACCTGTGCTGTACTACTCTGGATGAATTAAAAATTCAGTGATGAGGGCTATCTGTCTGGTGCCTTCCAGTAGCACCAAACTACTAAACCCTCCAAACAATCTGCTGTTACTGTCAACTCTTCAGGGCAGGACTGGCTCTTTCCTCCCTGTTCATACAGTGCCTGTTGTGGATGCCACTGGAAACAAAGACCAAATAGTTGTTGTTAATACACAGTGAAGTTAGAATTGAATTAGTAATAAGAGATGGTAGATATTTTGCTGACTTAGCAGAGTTTAAGCACTGGCTGGATACTGTCTCCATTAATACTGCTTCATGAGTGAAGGGGATATCACATATTGGAGGAGTGTACTTTGTACCACAGTGCATTTGGGGAGGAAGTAGAAATTCCCAGACCTAGTACCATGTATGCAGAGTCTTTTAATCCTGCTCCTTAGAGGGATGAGCCATTGGGAAAGGTCACGTCATACTTTTCAAACCCTTAATTAAGTGCTGTACAGCTGGAAGGGCGGGGCAGCTGCACATTCACAAGTCTCCCCTTGAGAATCTTTCTCGCTCCAGGGCCTTCAGAACAAGTTGTTCTCAGTGCTAACTTGCCTCTAGTTTTAAACCTACTTTTATTTGTTGGTTCTCCTGGAGCTTCCAATTGTGCTCTCATTAGGATAAACACCTTCTGTTTTGTTTCTCCTATCCCGTCAGCAATGGATCCACTGCACCTGCCTCCAACCCCTCCCAGCAGCCATGGCAGTGACTCTGAGGGAGGGCAAAGCCCAACCAGGTCCCTCCCGCCTTCAAGCCCTGTCCAACTACAAGCCACAGCTAAAGTGACATCACGCATGGCTTCAGCACTCTCCAATTCGCCTCTCCTGACTGCACCACATGTAAGTCGTGGTGACTTTTTTCCAATTTTTTTTTTTTTGGTTACCTGGTGATTTACTTTTTCTGTACTTCCAGTTTGTTGTTATCCCTTTTGGGGAGCCTCCCAGACTTTGGCTGAAACTCCAGATCAAGTAGTTGGGCTTTGGCTTCCCCACTGATTGTCTGGAGCTGGAGTCTGAAGTGAAAGGATATCTTATGTAACAAGCTTTTCCTTTATACCTTCTTGCAGCTACTACTCTGCTCTGATAGATTAATGACCCATGCAATCACCTGCATCACAGTGGATGTCTTGCTACTTTGTCTTTAGGCAGTAGGTGATCAACTCTATGGTGGGATTTTCATAAGTACTCATCATTGGTTGGTTCTCAAATTGTGGGTCGGGACCCCAAAGTGGGGTCACCAGTGCTGGCGTTAGATTTGCCAGGGCCAATGTCTTACAGCACAACTGTGCTAGGATCCACTAATCTGGGTGCGTTTCCTATTTTCTTTGCCTCTCCCCACCCCCCACCCCTTATCCCTTTGGTACATGCAGAAATTGCAGGGGACTGGTCCACTGATCTTGACGGAGGAAGAGAAGAGGACGCTGATAGCTGAGGGGTACCCTATTCCTACAAAACTGCCCCTGACAAAGGCAGAGGAAAAAGCACTGAAGAAAATCCGCAGGAAAATAAAGAACAAGGTAATTTTAAGCTGGAGCTCTGCTGAATGGTCCCCTCTCATGTCTCATACAAAAAGGCTACAACAGTTCTACAAAAGCAGCCAATAATACTTCCTTCTATCCCGTGCTACATACCACTTAGGTACTGACTAGATGGATAATTAATCTCTGTCCAGGTACTTATTTTGCTCATCACCATAGCATCTGAGTAGCAATTAAAGCTAACAAAATGGTAAAGCTATTAATTTATGCCTACATTAGGTGCTAGTGGTGTATGAAATCATGTCATCTAACTCCATTTAAGAAAGCCACCCCTTTTTTACCTTGTCTAGACAAGGCCTCTGTGTCCCCTCTACCTGGTGAGGGAGACTTCTACCTACCATTTTCATGTTTCTAAATCCTCTGTGCATCACAGTGCCATATTTTTCGTTCAGTACAATTCCAGGGCCTTAAATTAGCTATTTTATGTCAGGACTCTCTGAAATATCCGAAGTGCCTTGCTTTTCCTGCAGCAAGGGAAATAGTTGGCTAGAAGGGCAAGTTTTCCAACCTGACCACCTAAATTGTCCTTGCACAGATCTTGCACACCCTCAGGTATTTTACAGGTGCACAGGGGCTTGTATTAGTTATCCAGCGTTAAAATGGAGCCTGGTGTGTTTGTAAACCCCTGTCCCATCCCTGCCCCTGAATTTTTTCTCTGAGATGTCTGAGTGTTGATGTGGTGTAGAAGGTAAAGAGAATTAGAGCAGGGGAGTGACTTTACTGCCTTCGTTAAGACTGTATTTGCACTAGGATGGGGAATTGGCAAGGAAATTCTAGAGCTGATTGCCAAGGGGAAAAAAATAAAGAAGAGCGGCAAGCAGACGTGGATTTAATAATGCCAATGTTTTAAACCAGTTTATTGATTTGCTTGTGGCTTCCTTTTGTGTGGGGTTTTCCCGTCCCTCTTAGATCTCTGCCCAGGAAAGTAGGAGAAAGAAGAAAGAATACATGGACAGCCTGGAAAAAAAGTAAGCCAGCCTTCCTCCCCTTTCAAATGAACCAATGAGACAGTTGCTGAGATGGGAGGATTGATACTGTGTTTCCTGCAGAATGTGTTTCAGTTGCCACCTAGTGGTGGCTACAGGCAGGATTTATCTCCAGGAAAGAGGAAAGGTTTTTTGGGGGTTCTACTGATCGTGTATTTATTTATGATTAATGTTAAGCAAATATTACTGTGTCAACACTTGGTACTTTGTAGTAGGTCTTCTGATGTTAACATAGCATTGAAGAAACTGGTTCCTACTTTCTGAGGTTGGTTCGTCACACAAACCTAGAGTGATCAGCTGTTCTGCCTTACCTGAAAAGTCCTGTGTTTGTTGAGGATATCCTTGTGCCTCAGATGAGTATCGTGAAGCCAGGATATTGGCTTAGTTTCAATATAATCCATGATTTTCGCCACCCCCCCCCAACCAGCAGCCTGCTGTGCTCCCCTTCCTGTTGTACAGCTGCCTAGCTACTTTTGTGCAGAATCTTCATTTTACACCTGCCACCTTCCTCCAACTATTTGTGAATGAGCTAACGCAAAAAGAGCCCAGGCCAAATCCCAGTACCATGCTAACAACCTAGTTAGTTGGATTTTAAATAAGCTAAAACACATTAATATATGTCCATGGCTGTGTTTCAGTATTCGATATGCGACATGGCTACATAGCATGATTTTCATGGTTCGCTCGGCAGGCAGTATCCAGGCCAAGTTGGGCTCCGAATGAATAAATTCCTTTTCTTAAGATGGTGGGGACAGAGGCAGGAATAGGTGTAAAGGAGGAGTTGAAATCGGAAGTGGAGAAGGAGCATGTTAGCAGTCTGCTTTAGCAAGAAGCATCAAATCCTCCTATAGAGACTTGTGCCCCAAATTAGTCCCTCTCCCAAGTATCCTGAATCTTTCCTCATCTCTCCTTGTGCCCTTGGCCAGATGGGCCTGACCCCCATCTGCTAAACTCCTTGCACCTCCTTTGGTGAATCCCCCAACTCAATTTCCCCCTGCTCTTTCTGTCTCCAGCTGAAAGTCTTGCACTCCCAGGGCAAACCCCTGAAAGCCTCTTTCCCATCCACCCCATCACACGCCCAAACACATGGCAAAGCTCTCCCATGTGCACCTTCCCCCTCCACTAAGAGACTGCGATGGGAGTCTGGTTTGTCTGTTTGAGAGTCTGGTCACCTTACTCGCACTACCAAACATGATGCAATGGGATCTCTTTGGCGATCTCTAATGGCAGCTTGGAAATGACCAGTATTCTTTGGAAATAAATCTCATGGTTTATTCACGTTGTGAAGGTGAGATGCATGGACTCTGTGATCTTTCAGGGGTGTCTGTGCTATCCGGGACACAGTGTCAGAAATGTGGTTTGAATGAAACGGATGTCTGTCTCATCCTTGCAATCAGAGCTGCGGCACACCATTTAAAATGAATAGGGAGCAGGTGGGGGACAAGAGGTCGAGTCCTGCCCCTGGGGGTGAAATGCAGGGGTCTTGGATCCTGCCTCTGGGGAGTAGGAAGCCCTCAGAAGGGAGTTGGGATTGTCAGTCTTTCCTCTGGGTAGTGGTAGCCCTGGGGGGTGGTGGTGGTGGTGGTGAAGGGGCAGTTGCAGAGCAAGCCTGTCCTGCACTCACCCTACAGCGGCTCCAATCCCACAGGGCGGGCCCTGCTCTGACCTGTTGGTTCTTGCCATGCTTGCAGACAGGGCCCCTCCCTGTCACTTCCTGGCCCTTGTGCCACTAAACTGCCTGCCCCGAGCTGGGCTGTGGCCGTCTCGGCCACAGAAATGCATGCGTGTAGCAGCACTATTTGTCAGAGCTGTTGTGGCAGGTCCATACACCACATGCCTTAGAACACCGATAGTTCCACAGTACTGTTCCTGGAAAGAAAGTCTTCTGGGTAATTTTCAAACATGGAGTCCTGCGTGGTGGATGGAACTAGGAGGCTCATCAGGACATCCCGTCTATTCCAGGAAGAAATAACTGTAGTCAATACTGAATGAGTTGGACCTAAGCTAAGAACTCCTCCCAAATGTTACAACTAGCAGGTCTCTCCAATACTTGTAAAATGCCTGGGGTAGCAGTTGCAGGGGCTTTTTCAGGTTTGTGTGAGGTCAGACTTCAAGATTTGCAAAGGTTTGCAGCAATGCTTTTTCACTTCGTATAGAAAGAACCTTAGAACTCTGTTTTTACCCCTTTTGTTGAAGTATATGGGGGCTTTAAGTTTGCCTTTCTCTCTTTGTGCTTTCCTCAGGGTTGAGTCCTGTTCAAATGAAAATAGTGAGCTGCGTAAGAAAGTGGAAGTCCTGGAGAACACAAACAGGTAGGATCTGAAAGGACAACTGAAACATGCTTCCAAAATGGAAAAGTGGGAAATCTGGAAAAGAAGGGATCAAATACCAGAGCAGTGGACAATGACTCATGCGAAATGGATCCATCTGATCTGGTTAATGACAAAGATGGGGGAGGTAAAATATGTAAAAAGACTGGCATGGTGGCTGAGTGCTCAATATAATATGAAAGAGCTTGGGTTTGACGCTTAGGTCTGAGTGCTCTCCCTAGGCTGGTAAGAATTGCGAGTTCTTTATGTCACTCTTCAGCAAGCTTCTGGACTGATCTAGGAGTGATACTGATGGACTAGCACAGAAGTCTCATCAAGCTCTCTTCGACTAGTGGAAGACTGGTCTGACGCGAGACCTTGGAAAGGAGAGGCCCTAACCTGGAGTATAAGGCTGCAGTGGAGCCCTGATGCGTACATCTAGAGCCCTTAGTAGTTAGTTCTTCTGGGATTGCTACTTATCATTATAACTATCATACATCTTTCTAAGGCACCTATCACCATAGCATCTATATCAGTTTAGCAATGCAGTTTCTTTTGAGAGAAAACCAATTTCTCACCCCTCAGCTCATTTAGAAGCAGTTGTAGGTGAATCCAAGTGGTTTACTCAAAAGACAAACAGCTGAGACCATTCCACAGTTTAGTTCTTAAGGGAATGTCAGATAAAAGGAAGACTGATATTGATTTAAAAGATTGGGTCCTGTGTGCATTCTGATTTAAAAGTTATAAGACCTGAGCTCAATCTGATCTCTGGTGCTGGCAGATTCCACTGAGAATGCCCTGTCCCATCTGAATATATCCCAGATGAGTGTGGTATGTATACCTACACAGACGCACAGTTGTGGCACTGAAGTGTGGAGGGAGGTGATCACTGAAATAGCTGAGCTTTAAAGATAAGGCCTAGGACGTAGAAATGGACCTAGAATTTGTCTGGCAGCCAATGTATTGCTCATTGAGTGGCATGTGTGGTTTCTAATCTTCGGATCCAATCTCTAATTTCATGGAGACAGACCCCGTATCACTGTAATTTGCTGGAGAATGTCTCCCACACACTGCTCGTGCATAAAGACATCTGCTGCTTGTTTGGAGAGAGCCAAGCCATTTCTCCCCCCTCCTTTGCCTATCTCCCCACTCTGCCTTACACATGAGAATGTTGGCATTGCTGTATAAGATCAGACCAGGTCCGTCTAATCCAGCATCTGTTTCTGACAGGGGCTGATACCGGCTGTTTCAGAGGAAGGTGCAAGAACTAGGTAGTAGGCAGTTATAGACTACACTCCCCTTAACAACCTACTGAAAAGGTTCTCACTGAGTAGCCCTTGTCCCCAGGGAAGATAGTTTTACATGTAAGCACAGCCTTCCCCAATGTTAGACACAGCAGACTTTCCAAAAATCTTGCTCATGTCGTCTGTCCCTCACGCCCAAGGTTGCCTCGTCAAATAATGAAAAGAAGCTCTATTTTTAATAACTCTTCAAAGTTTTCCCAAGTTTCTGATGCTCTTAATTCTGAGAGTAAACCCTGAAAGAGCATCTGTTTGTTTAGGTGATGTTATCCCCAAATCCTTTACATCCCAGATATGCAGAATTAGTTGCATAGTTTCCCTTCATCAGTCATGGTGGGGTTTGGCTGTGTCCACTCTGCACATCACTGGTGACAGCGTGTAGGGTAGGTGTAGCTACACGCTGTAGTGAAAAGCGGGATGAGTCCATGCTGCGGCTTGTAGTGACGCATGTCAGTGAAAGGCTCTGGCGGAGGAGAAAGCTGTCAGAGCCGTTCTTTGCTGCATCCCCCTCCCCCGCCAGAGCCTTTTCCACACTGGTGGATCCTTTCCCTGTGGCCCATGCAACCTTCTTTCTGGCCCTGGAGCATGTTCATCATGGTACAGTCTCTTTAATTAGATGATCGTATTGCCTATGTATTCACAGGATCCCTGCCTCATTCAGTGAATGAGTAGTTATTCAATATTTCTTTATCTTCCTCATTCAGTGTGTGGCCCCCAGGCCTTTATTTAATGCATACCGTGTAAACCCTGGACTGATCATTTCCTCATGGGTGTTTCTATGGTGCCCTCACTGTAGTATCAGAGTCCTTCAGAACACTAATTACACCTCACCTCTGTGAGGGGAGATGGTATTATTATTCCAGGAAACTGAGGCACTGAGATTTATTGATATTACTGTAGCATCTAGACTAGGGGTTGGCAACCTTTCAGAAGTGGTGTGCCGAATCTTCATTTATTCGTTCTAATTTAAGGTTTCGCGTGCCAGTAATACATTTTAATGTTTTTAGAAGGTCTCTTTCTATAAGTTTCAGAGTAGTAGCCGTGTTAGTCTGTATCCGCAAAAAGAAGAACAGGAGGACTTGTGGCACCTTAGAGACTAACAAATTTATTAGAGCATAAGCTTTCGTGGACTACAGCCCACTTCTTCGGATGCAAGTTTATATTATATTATAAGTTTATAATATATAACTAAACTATGGTATGTAAAGTAAATAAGGTTTTTAAAATGTTTAAGAAGCTTCATTTAAAATTAAATTAAAATGCAGAGCCCCCCCGGACCGGTGGCTAGAACCTGGGCTGTGTGAGTGCCACTGAAAATCAACTCGTGTGCCGCCTTCGGCACGTGTGCCATAGGTTGCCTACCCTGATCTAGATGCTTCTGTCATGGGCCAGGACCTCCTGGGGCTAGGTGTACAGACACAGAACAAAATGATGGTCACAGCCCCAAAGAGTTTACCGTCTAAGTATAAGACCAGAGACAACGGCTGGATACAGACAGATGGGGAAGTACAAGTGAGATGGTACTGATCTGCATGGTAGGCAGTGATCTCAGGATGTTAGCAGTCTAACTGTTCAGGTTTTTTGTAGATGTCCTGGTGAAGGTGAGTTTTGAGGAGGGATTTGAAGGTGGATAATGAGGCAGCTTTGCAGATGTTTACAGGGAGAAATGCTCAAGTGCGTGGGGCAGCACAGGAGAAAAATACTTGTTTGAAAATGACCCTCCGGGGTCAAATGGAGGCCAGCATTGCCAGCTCAGTAGCAAATGAGAGATGATAGGTAAGGTGGGGATAGGCCAGGAAGGTGTAAGAAGGAATTAAGAGCATCAGAAAGTTGAGAGTGAAGACCAGTAGCTTATGTTTGATATAATAGAAAAGCAGGAGCCAGTGGAGGAATTCAAAGAGGGGAGTGGTATTGGTCAAAGCGGCGGGCTAGGGAAACCATCTTTGTGACTAGATCTGAGCAAGGCAAGATTGTGTTTGTCAAGGCTAGAGAGAGAGATGTAGGAATGGAAGCATGAGATGATGAGAGCTTGGACAAGACTTTTAGCTATGTGGATGGATAGGAAAGGCTGTATATTAGAGATGTTACAGAGAGAGAATATGCAAGATTTAGACATAACGTGGATGTGAAGGACTAGAGAGAGAGGTCAGGGTCCGATGACACCCAGGTTATGGGCCTGAGCGACAGGCAGGATAGTGGTGTTATCCACGATGAAGATTAATCCACGGGGAAGATTAGGAGCTCTGTTTTAACCATGTTTAGCTTGAGCTGGCAGTTAGACATCCCCAAGGAGATGTTTGAGACACAGGCTAAGATTTTAATTGTGTGGTAGGGATGTAAAATATTAAATAGTTAACTGGTAAGTATTAATCTTACTGTTAACCCACCCTAACTGTTAACCCCCTGTGCGTGGGTCTCGAACCAGTTCTTCTGCCCAAGCCACCCCGGGCCCTGCTGGCCAACCTCCGCCCCACTCAGCCCCGGGGGCTTCGCGGGGGATGGCCAGCCGGGCAGGGGGAGCGCATTTAGGCCGGGGTGGGTGGGCAGGGGCTGGGGGCCCCCATTGGGGGAGGGTAAAGTAGTCCCTGGCCTCTCCCTGTGCCACTGAAAGGGGTTTGGCTGCGGAGGTGGACGGTGCGCAGGGAAGGGAAGCTGCTGCTGGGGTGGCATGGAGCATCTGCGGAAGCCGCATCGGGACAAAGTAGGTACCTGGGGCCCCTCTCCCTTTAATCAGTTAACCAGTTAAATTATATAATTTTAATAGTTAAACAGTTTTTACATCCCTAATTTGTGGAAGGGAGGTAGATCTGTGAGTGGTCAGCATAGACATGGTAGTCTAATTTGTGTTTATGGATGAGATTACACAGAGATAAGGTATAGAGGGAGAAAAGAAGAGGATGAAGGACAGAGCCTTATGGAGCTCTCTCAGAAAGCTGATGAAGGATCCTGCGAAGGAGGAACTGGAGAGGTAGAAGGAGAACCAGGACAGCACAGAGTTATGGAAGTCAAGGGAGTGCAGGATTCCATTGGGTTAGGCGCGGTACAAAGTAAGAGACCGTCCTAGCGCCAAAGAGCTTCAATAGACAAGACAAAGGATGGGAGAGGAAACATGTAAGGATGGTATGGGTGAAGTGACTGGCTTAAAGTTGCAAAGGAGGCCAGTGACTGAGCTGGGAATAGAATCCCATAGACCATGCTGCCTCCTCCACAACAGCATGCAGTCAGACTGGAGGACACAGATATTTGGGGTTAAAAAGAGTATTGAAAAATAGGATTTACCTGTATTAGATGAGAGAAGAAATAGGATATTTATTACTGATTACTTTCCCAGAGAAGTAATAGAAATTGGATCCTATTTAAAATGTGCCTCACCAGTTGTGTGGATAAAGGTGACCAGATGTCCTAATTTTGGGGTCTTTTTCTTATATAGGCTCCTATTTACCCCCCCACACCCTGTTCTGATTTTTCACACTTGCTGTCTGGTCACCCTATGTATGGATTACTTTTGTGCTGTGTGTGCAAACTGAACAAGGAAATGGTGACAGTACAGAGACTGGTTTTCACAACCTCTTGCTTGTATATGGATCAGGAATGATAGAATTGCCAGGGGAAACAACAACAGCAGAAAGCAAGCTGTGCCTCTTTCCAACCTGAGATCACTTTTGGAAGGTAGTGGTTTTATAAAATAAAATCTGGTGGCTCTTTATTGGATGCTAAGAATAGTCCATTGAGGCCCTGCTTCTGCTCCCACTGAGGTCAATGGTAAAACTTCCATTGACTTCCGTGGTGCAGTGTCAGGTGAGTGTGAGAGAGATGGGGCATTGCAAGAGCTGAAACAGCAATAGAGTTGCCGAGTCTTATTGATCTGCATGGTAATTCCTTCAACTGGGATTATAAACTTATTTTACAGTATGTCCTGTGGGTGACGGAGGACTTGGCTGTGTTTTTCAATGAGACATTTTAAAAATCTTTCTTCTTTGAAATCTCTCTCTAAAACTGACACAGCTTGAGAGCCCTGGAACAACCACTTGTTTTTAACAGAGCAGGTCAATGTTTTTGCACTGAACCTTTTTTTTTTTTTTTTTTTGGTGGTAGGGGGTAGTGTTGGTGAAAAAATGGCTTCTTGACCTAAATTTTTCCACAGACATTTTCAATTTCCTTTTGGTAGAAACTTTCTGGTTATTGATGGAAAAACTGTAAAGAGTCACTTTTGGTTTTTTTTCTCTTCCAAAGGGAGAAAGGGGTGTGTGTAGAAATGGAGAATAGTGGAGGACCGCAAGTTTTCAAAAAATGAAAACTGAAAAAATCAGTTTCTGTTTTGTCAAAAAAAGGAGAAATTCTGTGAAAAAACTTGCACGCAGCAAACAGTTTGTTTTGTTTTGCTGAAAGTATATAGCACTCTCTGAGCAGTGCTAGCTTTTAAATGTAAAGGCCAGATTCCAAAAGCCTGCCGGGCAGAGATCCTGCAATGACCCAGATTTCATGCTCATGCCCTACAGCAAGTCTTGTTCAGGAGAGGGTGGTGGAGAAGCCTTGGATTGCACCCATTCTCAGTTGTTAAAGGAACCCTTTTTGGAAAGTAACCTACCTATATAAAAGCACAAATTAGACATCACAGGCTGGAGTGGATTTTCCAGCAAGACTAGAAGGGAGAGGGAATCCCTCAGTTACTTTACAGCTTTCCTGTGAGGCACTTCCATTGGCAGGGAAAGCGTGAAAGCACATTCACACCTCCTACCAGGAGGTGACCCTCTAATTGAATATCATCAGGAAATGTGTCAGGCAGAGTGAGATTAATCCCAGGGTGCAACCCCCTTACCTACATTGCCTTAAGATTTCACTTTCTCCTGTTAAAATTCAGCCATAAGCAATATGTTTCACTAAAAGCATTCTTGACCTTCCTTCAGATGTTCAGCGGAGGCCTCTTGGTATAAAATGCCCTTGTTCTTAAAGTTGCTCTTTCTCCCTTTCTCCAGTTTTCATTAGCACATCTCACCCCAATGGTAATAATACTGAAGGTAACTTTTCAATGGGAGAGGAATTTGACCTTCAACTATCTTTCAGTTTTTTGGACCGAACTATAGAAAAGAAGTACGGAAGAGTGTTTTTTGTGGGGGCAAGAGGGATAGCCATGTTGCCTCCAAACAAATGAATTCCAGCCTTCTCTTGCCTCAGTTCCTTGTTCTTATCTTGAAAATGCATCGTGAGTATTTTAACTCCCAACATTGAATCCTTTACTGTGGTGAAAGAGACAGTGGCCTTGATTTTCTACTCATGCCAGGGTAAATAGGGAGTCACTTTGTTGACTTCAAAAAGGCTACGCCTGATTTTTCACCAGTGTAAATGAGGCCCAGTTTAGAGATGTTTGAAGATTTGTGGTCATGTGGTGGAACTTATAAGTACTTGTTTACATTCAGTACGAAGTACCCACACCTTGTGTAGTTGGTAAATAACTTGGACCATATCTTACTCCCCACTTCCTTGGCCATGAAGGGCCCAAGATATAGTGGAACCGATATTGTTACACTGCTTGGGTGAGGGGGTGGAGTGGAGAGAAGAAAAGACATATTTGAGGAGCATAGCATCTTGGAGTCCAGGTCTTTGGGGGCTCTCTGCACAGCAAGGCTTGGGCTGGACAGGGAGGGCAAAGAGGAGAAATTTTAGTGGATTTGCCACTATGCAGATCCACCTGCCATTTCCTTTCCAACAGCCATCTCCACCTCCTCCTCCAAATCCCCCAGAGCAGCAAGAGCTGTTGCTATCGCAAGGCTTCTGTTGCTATCTCAGGACTGCAGTAGCAGGCCCAGAGCTGGAAGGAAAATTTCTTTCTGAAACTCCTCTGGAACCCTGGTGCACCAAGCCCAGCTACTCTGTCTTGGTACCCGGGGAGGATCTGGTCATCTGTCACTACAGTGATTATACATGCCAAGGTTCAAAAAACCTTCCCATGAAATGTGTACACTGATTTAGAAGATGGGAATAGCCGTACACAGTATGCATTTACCTTTTAAGGAAAGCTGCTTGTGTGACGCACACATGCTGTGTAACAGTATTATTGAGTAGTTGGTGTGGCCTCTTTCATCTGAATTGAAATGGCTCTTGAGTTGCTCCTACTGTAGATAAGGAACAGAAAGAGGACAACCAATTTTTATTTTACACCCGGATGTAGAACAAACCATATTTTCAACAGCGTATTAGACACCCTTGTGAAAGTTGGGAAGGATCTGCTGGCCCAGATAAATCTGTACTGGGAGTATTCCTTGTACTAATTTCAGACTCCACTTCTGAAGTCCTTGAAATCATTCTACCTTAATTAACAATGATCATTGATTAAAAAGTCTATAATAGACAGGTGAGTGTATTTTGAGCTGCTAAGGCACCTCTGGGTCTGTCCTACAACTGGCTTGTAATAACTTGGTTTTAAAATAATTCTTTTCTCTCTCTCTTGCTCCAGCATTTTTGACATCGCAGGCTTTAAAGCTGTTGGGGGTTGCTATGTATATTTGTCATGAGGCCTCAAATTCTCTTATAAGTGAAATGAAACGTAGAAATGGGATTGAGCTGCAAAGTTAGGATCCAGGGTCAAACTTCTCTAAAGGTTTTTGTGTGCGTTTGAAGTAGAGTATTTGGTGTAGTCCAACTCCTTTGAAAAGCATTTGTCAGAACACAATGGGAACAGTTTGGAGAGACCCAAATCAGTAATGGAATGTGATTGAGCAGGCTTAAAAATAGATACTTAACTATAGTTTGAGATCGGTTTCTACTTCACTTTTAAACGGCCAGTACTCAAATTCATGGACTGTTGTCCCTGCAGCAGTTGATCATATCTTTTACACTAAGCAGAGAGCCAGGAGGATAGAAAGTGCTGCTCTTGGCTGGGACTCTTATGTTTGTCCAGCACAATAGGGCCTCCATTGTGGTTGGGACCTCTAAGAATGATTGTAATAGCAACATAGGGCTGTGATTTCATCAGCTCTTGGAGGATGGAAGACTTAATAGGTAACCTTAGGAGGAAGTAACATTAAATATTTTATTTAAAACAAATGTATGGGAAGATAAGTCTGAACATATTACAGGTTTTGAGATCTAAAGGCATTTTATTTACAAAAGCTTTCCAGTTTATCTTAAGGGCCAGATTTTCAGAAATGTGTGTGCACAGCTACACAATTGATTAGAGTAATTGTAGACCTGATCCTGTACCTATTAGTCAATGGCAAAATTCCTGTTGCAATCATGGCACAAAATCAGATCAAATGTGCAGCTGGTCATCTGTGAATGTAACCGTTTCAACTGTATGTATATACATGGTAATCCTGCTCCCATTCTTCTGAAAATCTGATCCTTCCTGGATGAACAAATAGGAGCCTCAAAAGTAGGAAGTAAAGTAGTTGGTGGGAATGTTTGGGGAAGAATGAAACTGACATCAGTTGTGGAAAAACAAAGTACTCCTTGAAAAGTCTAATGTGATTGTGCACTATATTTTGGAAAATTAGTGCAGCCATTCCTTGCCTCTGACTTTTAACTAGCTGCACCTGCGTGTAAATGTTTACTGCTAGTAAGGCACAGAGATCAAGGTGAAAAGCTGTATGATCACATGGTCTGAGGTATGTAAATCTATTGGTTAATATTGATGGCTGTGTTACTCTTGACATTCCAGAACTCTTCTGCAGCAGTTACAGAGACTCCAAGCCATGGTTGCTGGCAAAGTGTCCCGTTCCTGTAAAGCAGCCAGCACGCAGACAGGGACCTGTCTCATGGTGAGTGACTCAAAAGTTGGGGACCACAGGCAGCGGTTGCTAAAACCACTGTTCCCTGGCTCAGCTCATGTCTGTCTCTCCATTGGATAATGGTACTGCAGGTTTGAAAAAAGAGGTGGGAGCACCGGTCAGCTTCGTGCTAGCAGCTGGAAGCTTTGGGAAGTCATGAATACTGAGGCAGCCTGGGATGGGTGTGGATTTTTGTTGCTGAAGGGTACTCCACCCATTCTGTTCAGTCTGAAAGCCCAGAGGGTGGGAAGCGTCTCTCGTCAAGAATTAACAATGAAATGTATCAAAGTTCTGAATTACTTTGGGGATTTCTGATAGATAGCACCTTGCTGAAAAGAAGCCTAATTTGTGGCCGTCATAGCATGGGATCTTCCTATCTAAGAGACCACCTCTCTCCCCCAGACATACTATCACAGTCATGATCCTTGGGGGCATTCCCACTTGGTATAAAACCGGAGGCGGGGAGGGCTGCTGGTGGAGTGTTCTCTGTGGGGACCCCTTTCCTTTGGAATGTACTCATGTCAGACCTGGGGCTGCAAGAGCACAAGACTGTTGACTTTCCAGGCCCTCTACAAAGTCCATCTGTTTTAGCAGGCATTGGCAAGGGGTGTGAGGATGGAATTACTGTCATCTGGAAGTGTGTGGTTTGCAGGAGGTAAAGTGTCTCAGGGTGTTTCTTGATGATTAGATGAAGTGCCCCCATGGAGGCAATGGAGCATGGCGCGGGGGAGGTCAGTCCCCGGAGTGAGGTGCCAGCCAGAGACAATGGGGCATAGACTCATAGACTTTAAGGTCAGAAGGAACCATTATGCTCATTTAGTCTGACCTCCCGCATGATGCAGGCCACAAAAGCTGACCCACCCCCTTTCCCTTAACTCAGCTGTTGAAGTCCCCAAATCCTGTGATTTAAAGACTTCAAGTCACAGAGACTCCTCCAGCTAGTGACCCCTGCCCCATGCTACGGAGGAAGGGGAAAAACCTCCAGGGCCTCTGCCAATCCACCGTGGAGGAAAATTCCTTCCCGACCTCAAATATGGCGATCAGTAGAATCCCGAGCATGCAGGCAAGGTTCTCCAGCCAGACCCTCATTGACCATTGATACTATTTACCAGCGATGGCATGTTGTTGACTAATTGACTAAAATCACGTTATCCCATCAAACCATTCCCGCCATAAACTTATCTAGCTTAATCTTAAAGCCAGAGAGGTCTTTCGCCCCCACTGTTTCCCTCGGAAGGCTGTTCCAAAATTTCACCCCTCTGATGGTTAGAAACCTTCGTCTAATTTCAAGCCTAAACTTCCCCACGGCCAGTTTATATCCATTCGTTCTCGTGTCCACATTAGTACTGTCATGGCATGTCAGAGGCAGCCCCGCTCCACCCAATGTGAGGGCACTATTTACAAACTGGCAGTTGCCAGAGGCACAGTGACCTGCCCGGCTCTGTGCTGCCAGTGTGCCCCTTCCCCTCAGAGGCAGGCCCATGCCACACCACTCAGCCTCTTCCCCTCCCCCTCAGCCCAACACCACCCGATTCCCTATGGCCAGAGTTCCCCCAGACCCACTATGCCCAGCGCCCCCTCCCATACCCACCAACAAATGCACAGTGCCCTGCACAACACCACCCCTGCCCGCAGCCCCACCACAACTGCCCAGCACCCCCCCACAAAACCCCCACTCCCTAGTGCCCCAACACACACATCCTTCCCACCCCCTCACAGCCCAGCACCCTCCTGACTCCCCACAGACCCACTCCCCCAACCCCTGCCTCCTGGTCACACTCACCGGCCCTGCTGGGAGGCGACTGTGTCTGTTGGGCTGAGCCAGCTGCAAGCTAGGGCCGGGAACTGCTCCATCCCCTTGGGAGTGGCGTGATCAGCTAGGCCAGGACCTGCCCCGGCCGGGCTTCCTCAAGACACACTTGCCTGGAGGAGCCCAGCCAAGCTCCCCACACTGTTTCCCCCCCCCACACACACACCTGGCTGAGACTGGCCAGGCTTCTGCACCAGTCCC